AGAGAATGAACACTGTATAGCAGCGTATTAACCAAAGCAACACAAGCCCAATTTATTAAGCATACAGTTTAAAATAATAAAAACCAAGCAATAAGTCCACTACTGGAATATTGGAATCTTTCACAACCTAATAAAAACCTTATTCTCCTGAGTCCCTAAACTCTAAGAGCAGAGTTCTCAAAGAATAATGCATTATTCCACAGTATATTGGTATTTATGTTGCCGAGCACTTTCTGTAGAGCAGAACTCCCTCTAGTAATTCAAAGGCAAGAAGAGAGAATAAGATAAATCCCTGTGTATCGTTGAGATTTAAATGAAGATTATTTAGGGCCCCATGTAGCTCAGTTGGTAGAGCATGGCGCTTGCAACGCCAGGGTTGTGGGTTCGATTCCCATGGGGGGGCCAGTATAAACAAATAAAAAATGTATGCACTAACTGTAAGTCGCTCTGGAAAAGAGCGTCTGCTAAATGACTATTTTTCTTTTAGAAAGACACGAAGACAAGAGACCCAGCAGGCTAGTCTCTTTTTATTGCCATGTAACTGTTATGAGTGTTGTATTGTCAATTTGTTTTCTACTGTATTTAAACGGCACTTTAAACGTGTACATGATCCTGCAACAAAATTTCCCCATGGGGACAATAAAGTCAGTAAAGTAAAGACTAGCGAAGGGCCTATTCAGACTGTTCTTCCTGATTCTGGTGAGAGGCATCCATCCTTTAGTGGTGAATCTTAAAGTAACTGCCCAGTGTTTCCAGATTTCTATGAAATATGACCTATAAATACTTGCAATATGAGTTAAATAGTTTTCCTTCAAAAAATTGTAATTAAGTATGTAAAAAGCAGCTTTTCTGTGTTGAATGGTGTGGGCATACCCCAACAACAGAATGGTGTGGGCGTATACCGGTCTTTAAAAATAGTCATGGAAGAAGACCGCTGATTGGCCAGCTCATCCTCCTCTATACCGCTGATTGGCCAGCTCATCCTCCTCAGAGAGATGACATCTTGTTCTATGAGTAATTATCAAGCATTTTTTAAACGGTCTGTTTGAGATACAGGTTTGAGGTGGGGTTTTTTAAGTGTTTTTTCTCCAATTTATACTTAGGCCACAAATACGATTATAGGACGAGTCAACAACTTTTAAAAGTGAGATTTTCACTGGGAAGTTACTTTAACTTCCACTTAATAAGTCAAATTGTAATGTAGTCATGTATTGATGTCAGTGTAAGACTAAGTTAAAAGTTTGACTTCAGTGGAAGTTAGGATTCACACTTAAGTTTGCACCTGTCACTTTTTATAGCTGTCTTTATTTCTACTTCACTTGTTTTACCTTTGTTCTTCTCTTTCTTCATTTTGTATTCCTTTGAAGTTGTATTCCCTCTGTCTTGAAAAAAAAACTGTGCACCACTGCCCATTCCATTTAAAATGTATGTATCTGGATTTAAATGTATAGGTGTAGGTGCCTTTTGGCAAACCCCAAGTGGGCTGTCATGCGCCTTTTACTGAGGAGTGGCTTCCGTCTGGCCACTCTACCATAAAGGCCTGATTGGTGGAATGCTGCAGAGATGGTTGTGCTTCTGGAAGGTTCTCCCATCTCCACAAAGGAACTCTGGATTTCTGTCAGATTGACCATCGGGTTCTTGGTCACCTCCCTGACCAAGGATCTTCTCCACCGATTCCTCAGTTTGGCCGGGCGGCCAGCTCTAGAAAGAGTCTTGATGGTTCCAAACTTCTTCCATTTAAGAATGGTGGAGGCCACTGTGTTCTTGGGGACCTTCAATGCTGCAGACATTTTTTGGTACCCTTCCCCCAGATCTGTGCCTCGACACAATCCTGTCTCGGAGCTCTACGGACAATTCCTTCGACCTCATGTCTTGGTTTTTGCTCTGACATGCGCTGTCAACTGCGAGACCTTATATAGACAGAAGTATGCCTTTCCAAATCATGTCCAATCAATTGGATTTACCACAGGTGGACTCCAATCAAGTTGTAGAAACATCTCAAGGATGATCAATGGAAACAGGGTGCACCTGAGCTCAATTCCAAGTCTCATAGCAAAGGGTGATAGCAAATACTTACGTAAATAAGGTATTTCTGTTTTTTTTTTTTTTATAAATTCACAAAAAATTCTAAAAACCAGGGTATTGTGTGTAGATTGCTGAGGATTTAATTTTTTATTTAATCAGTTTTATAATAAGGCTGTAACGTAAGAAAATGTGGAAAAGGTCAAGCGCACTGTATAGAGTTACCTCTGCTGCAAATGATAAGTTCATTAGAGTTACCAGCCTCAGAAATTGCAGCCCAAAGAAATGCTTCACAGAGTTCAAGTCACAGACACATCTCAACCTCAACTGTTCAGTGGGGGCTGTGTGAATCAGGCCTTCATGGTCGAATTGCTGCAAAGAAACCACTACTAAAGGACACCAATAATAAGAAGAGACTTGCTTGGGCCAAGAAACACGAGCAATGGACATTAGATCGGTGGAAATTTGTCCTTCGGTCTGGAGTCCAAATTTGAGATTTTTGTTTCCAACGCCGTGGCTTTGTGAGACGCGATGTGGGTGAACGGATGATCTCCGCATGTGTATTTCCCACTGTAAAACATGGAGGAGGAGGTGTTATGGTGTGGGGGTGCTTTGCTGGTGACACTGTCTGTGATTTATTTAGAATTCAAGGCACACTTAACCATCATGGCTACCACAGCATTCTGCAGTGATACGCCATCCCATCTGGTTTGGGCTTAGTGGGACTATCATTTGTTTTTCAACAGGACAATGACCCAACACACCTCCAGGCTGTGTAAGGGCTATTTTACCAAGAAGGAGAGGGATGGAGTGCTGCATCAGATGACCTGGCCTCCACAATACACCGATCTCAACCCAATTGAGATAGTTTGGGATGAGTCGGACCACAGAGTGAAGGAAAAGCAGCCAACAAGTGCTCAGCATATGTGGGAGCTTCTTCAAGACTGTTGGAAAAACATTCCAGGTGAAGCTGGTTGAGAGAATGCCAAGAGTGTGCAAAGCTGTCAAGGCAAAGGGTGGCTATTTGAAGAATCTCAAATATGAAATATACAGTGAGGGAAAAAAGTATTTGATCCCCTGCTGATTTTGTACGTTTGCCCACTGACAAAGACATGATCAGTCTATAATTTTAATGGTAGGTTTATTTGAACAGTGAGAGACAGAATAACAACAAAAAAATCCAGAAAAACACATGTCAAAAATGTTATTAATTGATTTGCATTTTATTGAGGGAAATAAGTATTTGACCCCTCTGCAAAACATGACTTAGTACTTGGTGGCAAAACCCTTGTTGGCAATCACAGAGGTCAGACGTTTCTTGTAGTTGGCCACCAGGTTTGCACACATCTCAGGAGGGATTTTGTTCCACTCCTCTTTGCAGATTTTCTCCAAGTCATTAAGGTTTCGAGGCTGACGTTTGGCAACTCGAACCTTCAGCTCCCTCCACAGATTTTCTATGGGATTAAGGTCTGTAGACTGGCTAGGTCACTCCAGGACCTTAATGTGCTTCTTCTTGAGCCACTCCTTTGTTGCCCTGGCCGTTTGTTTTGGGTCATTGTCATGCTGGAATACCCATCCACGACCCATTTTCAATGCCCTGGCTGAGGGAAGGAGGTTCTCACCCAAGATTGGATGGTACATGGCCCCGTCCATCGTCCCTTTGATGCGGTGAAGTTGTCCTGTCCCCTTAGCAGAAAAACACCCCCAAAGCATAATGTTTCCACCTCCATGTTTGACAGTGGGGATGGTGTTCTTGGGGTCATAGGCAGCATCCTTCCTCCTCCAAACACGGCGAGTTGAGTTGATGCCAAAGAGCTACATTTTGGTCTTCTCTGACCTCAACACTTTCACCCAGTTCTCCTCTGAATCATTCAGATGTTCATTGGCAAACTTCAGACGGCCCTGTATATGTGCTTTCTTGAGCAGGGGGACCTTGCGGGCGCTGCAGGATTTCAGTCCTTCACGGCGTAGTGTGTTACCAATTGTTTTCTTGGTGACTATGGTCCCAGCTGCCTTGAGATCATTGACAAGATCCTCCCGTGTAGTTCTGGGCTGATTCCTCACCGTTCTCATGATCATTGCAACTCCACGAGGTGAGATCTTGCATGGAGCCCCAGGCCGAGGGAGATTATCAGTTATTTCGTGTTTCTTCCATTTGCAAATAATCGCACCAACTGTTGTCACCTTCTCACCAAGCTGCTTGGCGATGGTCTTGTAGCCCATTCCAGCCTTGTGTAGGTCTACAATCTTGTCCCTGACATCCTTGGAGAGCTCTTTGGTCTTGGTGGAGAGTTTGGAATCTGATTGATTGCTTCTGTGGACAGGTGTCTTTTGTACAGGTAACAAACTGAGATTAGGAGCTCTCCCTTTAAGAGAGTGCTCCTATTCTCAGCTCGTTACCTGTATAAAAGACACCTGGGAGCCAGAAATCTTTCTGATTGAGAGGGGGTCAAATACTTATTTCCCTCATTAAAATGCAAATCAATTTATAACATTTTTGACATGCATTTTTCTGGATTTTGTTGTTGTTATTCTGTCTCTCACTGTTCAAATAAACCTACCATTAAAATTATAGACTGATAATTTCTTTGTCAGTGGGCAAACGTACAAAATCAGCAGGGGATCAAATACTTTTTTCCCTCACTGTATTTGTTTAACACTTTTTTGCTTACTACATGATTCCATATGTGTTATTTCATAGTTTGGAAAAACCCTTGAATGAGTAGGTGTGTCCAAACTTTTGACTGGTACTGTAAGTCATCCAACAATCTAAAACCAACTGTTTCAAATGCTGTCAAAAGAGGGCCAGAGAAGAGTCACTAATGTTGCACCAGTGTGAACTTTGAACTTTTTCCAGAGGTAAATAGGGATGCAAAAAACAATAAGCTACTTTAATATACTTTAATTCATGTGTATTATATATCTTCTACTTATTTATTAATTGTAAATAATTGCCCCAGTGGGATGAATTAATCATTCATAAAAAAGTAAATGAAGCATACTTTTATTTCCATTAGACTATACTGTACCTAATACAGTATTATATTCCTAATGGAAAACCGGTGCAAACTTCATAAAATCTGAAGACATCTGACCCAGAATTGTACAACGGGTGACATGAAGCTAAGCAATGACTGTAGTAGATTGCTAAACTTCTAGAAATGTGCAGTTTCTTCATCTTTACACTATTTTCTATCTTACCATCTTATTTATTCTATAAGCTCAGTGTGGACAAATGGGTGAAAATGACAATAGATAACTATACGCATCATAGAACAAGACAAGAAACAGTGTTTCTGTATATTTATTCTGTGTACAACAATAGACAGTTACAGGCAATGACACTTGTTTAGCAATTGAAAACTTTGGTGATGCATAACAGCTTGTGAATACCTGAACACTTTGTATTTTTTTATATTGCTCTGAAATTCGTAGTAATGTTTTAGTTTACAATATCCACCGACGGCACAACCGTTTTGACACGTGTACGTACACACACACAAAAAGGAACCTGACGAATAACTTGTGCGATCAAGAAAAGTAGCTATACAAACAGGATTGTGGAGGTGACTTCACTATCGTGTCACCTCCAAAATGTCTTTCCACGATGAGGAACTCTGGTACTGTCAACACAGACCCATAACCCTCTTTTCCCTTAGCTTTATATACAAACACAACAGTAAACTAGGAAATATGTACTTCAACCATCACTTTCACCCTTGGGTATAAATGACCGTTCCAAATCTCATACATCCCCCTCAGTCCTCTTAAAACAATACAAATGACAAAAACATTGTCTGAAGTCAGTCCTTAGTCGTCTCATCTCTGTTTGGGATTGTTATTTTGGATGAAGTGAAACAAGTGTCCATCTGTCAGGTGGATTGTCTGTTTGTCCAACTGTTGAAAATGGATCCTCCGAGTCCCAAAGCAGATGAGTGTCTTCTGCCCACCATTACAAAAGCAATCCCTCCCTTCCCCACAGTTTCTCCTCTTTCTGGGTGTAACATGACCTAATTTCCTCCTCCTTTCACGCAATGTCTGTGACATCACTTCATGTCACAGACATTGGGTCAACGTAATTCTTCAAAACAGCTTCCTTCCCTCGTCTCCACTCCCTCACAACCGCTGACCTAAAGTTATTTGTCTGGTGAAAGCCAAAACGATGGAACAATGGACACTAGCTTCTTTCACCTGTCAGCGGTTCGAGAGGAACGGGAAACAGAGCAAGGAAGCCATTTTGGGGCGTCCATTATGAACAGTCACGAACAACAGAATGGAAGGAAAAGGGGAACGGAGGCCATCTTGAGTGAGAGCCAGTATCACTACCACCCTCCATGGTCCTAGTCTTAGTGCCCGTTGCTCTCTGACACTGATGTAGGAGTGGACGGGGTGGAGGAACGAGAGGCATTCGACCCCTTCTCCCCCCCAGGGCTGGCAGCGGTTGGTACACTCTCTGGGGCCTTGGCCCCTGTGGTAACATCTGCAGCGGCCGCAGCGGCCCTGGCTGCGGTGATGGCGGACACAGGCTTGGGCTGGGCCTGCAGGCCGGGGCTGCAGATGAGGTGGTGGCGCTCCCAGTCCTTGTGTTGGCAGAAGGAGCCGCAGTAGCGCGCCGCGTTGCAGCCGCTGCACGTCTCGCTGGCCTTGCGCCCACAGTTCCAGCAGCACTGCAGGGAGAGCGAAATGGAGAGGTTTAGTATAGAGATAAATAATAGACTACAGCTGTGTATGTGTAGACTACGTGCAGGGGGAGAGGAAGAGTGTGTGTACACTATATTTATGGAGAAATGGACAAAGTATACTAGGCAAGTAGTATGTAAATACCACAGTAGTGCATCTACATGTCCTGCAGCTTTGACTATTATTCATATGTGCTCACTATGACTCTCTCTTCACAGTATGTGTGTACACTTAGAAAAAGGGTTCCAAAACAGTTCAGCTGTCCCCATAGGAGAACCCTTTCAGGTTCCATGTAGAACCCTCTGTGGAAAGGGTTCTACATGGGTTCTACCTGGAACCAAAAACAGGCTTCTTCAAAGGGTTCTCCTATGGGGACAGCCGAAGAACCCTTTAAGGTTCTAGATAGCACCTTTTTTTTCCTAAGAGTGTACACAGTTATGTACTTATGCACTAATCTATCCTCCGAACCTCGCTGGAGTCCTCCTGCTCGTTGATGACCTGGATGGCGTCCTCGGTGGCCTTCCTCTTGGCCTCGGACAGCGTCTTCTCCATCTTGGCGCGCTCAGCCGTGATCATCTCAAAGGCCTTCTGCTCCGCCTCAGCCACAGCCTTCTGCACCTCGTCCATGGCCTGACGCTTTACTTCATTCACTGCCTCTTCTGTGAGAGAGGGGACACAGGGGGTCAGGTTTTAGTCCATGTGGTGGTTTTAGGATACATAGTGGTTATAGTAGATGGATGAAGGGGGCTCCTTTATATCAAATGTTTTTCAATAATATTTTTTTCATGAGCGAGAGAGGGAGAGAAAAAGAGATAGAGAGGGGAAGAAGAAGAACATTTCATGTTGAATGCACACACGGGACATTGAACACTGTTGTACCAGCCCTTACCAGCTTTTCTCCAGATCTCATCCGGCACGTAGCCCGAGCCAGGCCGCGGCGCAAAGTCTCTCTGGGATTCTGTAAAAAAAAAAAAAAAAAAAAAAAAAAAGTTAGCACCCGGCAGACTTGTGTGAGATAGCACCATCCGCTCTATTAACTTGGGATATACAATCCCCTCACTAACCACACCAATTCAACCTTCCCCAGTTGTCCAAATTAACCGAATAGCCGGGCAGCTTGAAGAGGGAGTACATTGGCTAGGGCAGAGGAGCTGACAACCAAGCTGTAGCTACATCCTGTTTGTTTTCACTCTCACTCTTTATCCCTCTCTTCTCTCTCTTTTCTCTCTCTCTCTCTGAGCCGCTCTTCTCAATCCAGACCTATGCCCAAGCTCTGTGGTGCCCGGGCTGGGTTTGGACTGTGTACACTGTGCCCAGACACACTGCTGGGCACACAGATGGCACTCCGGCCGGGCGGCGGGCAGCCAGCTCTGGGTCTTACAGGATGGCAGGCTGTCACTGCCAGGGCCTTCTGTGGCCAATCTGGACGGGGGCAGCGTTGGCACCTGTCTGGGGGCCATGGAGCAGCATGGGCCCAGGAGAGAGGAGCAGACGAGCACTGAGAGACAAACACTGCCAGCAAGACTTAGTCTGCATCCCAAATGGCAGCTTATTCCTTACCAATATACAGAATATGATGCCATTTGGAATGCATCCTGTATAGGTTCGAAATGTGTCATTAGTGTGTTGATGGGTGTAGTTCTGTAGATGAACACCAGAGGGCAGTGGGTTTATGTGTGCGACCATGTGGGAGCTCAGTAGCAGGCGGTTGCTTCAGCAGCTCACCATCAAGGGGCCATACTAGTTTTTACTCCCTTACCCCAGGAATCCCACCTGACAAGATACACACCTGATCGACAGATCTATATATATATATATATATATATATATATAATGTATTGATTCATTAAAGGCCAAATCCTAAGGGTAGAAATGAACTTAACTTCTCACCCATGGATTTGAGCTCATAAGAGTTAGTTGTAATGTAAAGACAGAAGACCACCCACCATTGGTGAGTCCCTCGGCCGTGTGGGGGCTGTGGGTCTTGGAGAAGGGCGCGGGCATGGTGGCGGCCCCTCCCTTGCGGGGGTCCTCCTGCTCGCTGGAGCGCCGCCGCCAGTAGTTGAGCTCCTCGCGGTCGGACTCCTGGCAGCGGCGCAGCACGGCCACCGAGCGCCGCGTCTTCTCCACCATGTCCACGATGCAGTTCAACACCTGGAGACGGGAGGGACGGAGACAGAAAGAGGGGACCTTCAGAGAGATCCATTTTTGTATATATATTTTTTTATCTTAATTGATTTTGATATTAGAGCCTTTTTAGATAGCAAGTAGATACAATGGAGGGCTTCAGTTCTGGCCCACCCAATTTTCCAAATGCCCAACCACAAAATATGTCCTATATCTACACTACTGCAGTAGATATAGCTTACCTCTAAAGATACAGTATATGTCAGTGGAGGCTGCTGAGGGGAGGACTGCTCATAATAATGTCCGGAATGGAGCCAATGGTATAGCATCAAACACCTGGAAACCATGTATTTGATCCCATTCTACTCATTCTTCTCCAGCCATTACCATGATCCCGTCCTCCCCAATTAAGGTGCCACCAACCTCCTGTGGTATATGTCATAACGTGGGGCTAAGTAATAGCTATATACAGTAGTGTTAATTGGGGTGCATAACGAGTCTCAATACACAGGCCTGTTTTGTGAGACAAAATAAATATCATTTCATTGGGTAGGACTCCTGCTTTGCGCAGTCAATCACTACTGGAGCGCAAGGCTCTCGAATGTAGACAGCCGATTGCTTTAACACAAGTCCACCACTGTGAAAGGGACACCCAGTCTGACACAGCCTCGATGGCTCCACCAGGCATTGAGAGGAGCTACGGCACTTATAGTTCCAGTGGTGGTAGCGGCGTCTACTGTCAGCAGCGGTACTTACATGATCCAGATGCCTCCACTCGTCGGCCCACTCTCTGTCTGTCAGCCTGTGGTCCACGGGCTCCTCCCGGTAGCCCCCGTTAGTGCCTGATTAGATAGACGAGACAAATGAAAGATTAAAGTGGTGATTAAAAAGGAACACGTCATTACAAATGAATATGTCAGGAAGAGAGGCGGAGAGAAGGGGGTGAAAGTGGTGTCCATTAATCATAATAGTCAATCCCACAATAACATTTAGATGGTCTTATTTCACAACAACATTCCATGTCATGACCATAGCTTAGTGACAAGCTGTGGTCTACCATCTCGCTACTAGCTTAACTGTTTCGCTTCCTCATACACAAGAGAGAGGAAGAGGAGGAGTGAAAGACGAAGAGTGGCAAAAGAGTTAAGGATAGAAGGGAGGGGAGAGAGAGAGAGAGATATTCAGTAGGGGATAAGGGCAATACTGAGAATACAAAACATTAGGAACACCTGCTCATTCCATGACAGACTGACCAGGTGAATCCAGGTGAAAGCTATGATCCCTTACTGATGTCACTTGTTAAATCCACTTCAAATCAGTGTAGATGAAGGGGAGGAGACAGGTTAAATAAGTATTTTTAAGCATTGAGACAATTGAGACATGGATTGTGTATGTGTGCTATTCAGAGGGTGAATGGGCAAGACAAAATATTTAAGTGCCTTTGAACGGGGTATGATCAGGGATGCCAGGCGCACCGGTTTGTGTCGAGAACTGCAACACTGCTGGGTTTTTCACGCTCAACAGTTTCCGTGTGTATCAAGTATGGTCCACCACCCAAAGGACATCCAGCCAACTTGACACAACTGTGGGAAGCATTGGAGTCAACATGGGTAAGCATCCCTGTGGAACGCTTTCGACACCTTGTCGAGTCCATGCCCTGACGAGTTGAAGCTGTTCTGAGGGCAAAAGCGGGTGCAACTCAATATTAGGAAGGTGTTCCTAATGTTTTGTACACTCAGTGATATCAGAGCGAGAGACGTAAAAACTAAGAAAGAGTAAAAAAAAAAGAGATGAAAAGAGATGAAAAGAAAGAAGAGCGATAAAGAAAGAGAGAGCGAGCGGATGAAAGACAGAGGGAGAGGGGACAGAGAGAGGTCTTTTGATGAGAACCAGACCCCGGGCCCAGTCACGGCATGCAGCAGCGCTGGGACTCCCCCACATCTGGAGGTCAGCTGTCAGTGTAAAACCACCGACACCATCCCCACCCCCCTCTCCTCCCCATTTCTGCCCCCTGTGGCTGGGTAACTGTCGGGGAGTAGTGGGCATCCCCTCCCCATGGTCTGAAGCCAGCAGCATTCCATGGAGGGAGCTGTTCAGGCCGTGTGGCGCAGGCCCACTTCTAAACACAGCCACCCCCTGGCTAAGCAGAGCTGATACCCGCTCTGGTTTGGATGAGTGCAGGGAAGAGATAGCACACACAAACACACAAAGAGAGGCAAACACACACGAACAGACAAACATATAACACAACATTCAAAGACACAAATACACACTTGAACGACAAAAAGGAACAAACACACACATACATACATATTGGCTCATTAATGGTCACACACACTACCCCCCCCCCACACACACACACTATCTATCCACCCCACACACCTCTCTCCTTCTCCCCTGTCTCCACCCCTGCTGCTGTTTCTCATCAGCGCTCCCCAGTTCAAAGCTCTCTGAGATGTGGCGGTGAACAGGCTGGATGGCTTACTGCACCTTGGGACGCAACGCTCGTAAACAACCCCCCCCCCCCCCCCTGCTTCGACTCCCTAAAGGTGTGCCTCGGCATGAACTACTGTCGTTTCCTTAGGGCACTATGTGTGTGGTGGTGGTGGTGGTGGGGGGGGGGGGGGGGGGGGGGGGGGGGGTAGTGTGTGTGTGTGTTCGCTTCTGTGTTTATGCGAGTGTGTGTCTACTTTGTTGAATATCCCATCTGGCCATTGACATTGACAGGGACCAGATGGCACGCAGATTTACAATGAACTAGATACAATCTTCTCTCAAAGGTACACTACTTCCTGGGTAGTTTGGCACACTTTCTAAGCACACGTGGGGTCCATGGATTTATGGCCTTCGGAGAACTTCTATGCCGTTTGCTGTGCATGTCCACACACACACACTTGCTCGCATGGACACCCACACAGACCACCCATTAGCAGCTTTCATATCGACCACACTAAAGGCTGGTTGTGTGTGAGTGAGAAAGAGTGCTGTTTTATGATGCAACCTCTGTGTTGCTTGAGTCATCCCTTACGAGTGTTGTGGAAAACAGCAGAGGGATCAATGTGAGAGAATCAAGGATACCTACATCTGTTCATGTAGGGCTAAACCCTGAGCTTGTATATGCATCTGGGTTGTATTTGTTTTGTGTGTGTCTCTTCTTCGAGGTCTCTCTCTCTCCAATTATTTTGTATGGGTGGCCCCAGCGGGAATCAAACCCACAATCCCTTGGCGTTGCAAGCACCATGCTCTACCGACTGAGCCACACAGGACCACCAGTAGGTGTGTACAGTAAACATGTGTTTTATCTACCTGGTAGTCTGGGCCTGTCCTTCAGCTCGCGGAGCTCCAGTATCCGGCTCTCACGGTGCAGTAGGTGGGGGGCGCTGATGTCCTCCAGGGCGTAGTGTTGCAGTGGGGGCGGCGTGGGGTGCAGCTGAGCGCTGAGGGGCAGGGGATGGGCCGGGCTGTGGCGGGGCGCAGGGCTGATGGTGCAGATGCGCTTGGTTGGGGGCTCCAGGGGGGCGGGCGGGCGCTCGTGGAAGCCATTCTCTTTGGCCCTGCAGGAAAGATGTCGGGGAGGGAAGGCATGAGAGAGAGTGGAAATGTGTACGTGTGATATTGGGGAGGGCCGTCTGTTGTGTTTGGGGCTGCTTGCAAACTATACATGGATGTGTGTCTGTCTCTCTGATCTCTGTGTGTGTGTGTGTGTGTGTGTCTACAGTATATGTCTGTATGTATATGACAGTCTTTCCCCTACCTGTTGGGACTGTGTCGCTCTTGGTGTGTGTGTGTGTGTGTGTGTGTGTACATTTTGTCTGTCTGTATGTCTCTCTCTCTCCCTCCTACCTGTTAGGGCTGTGTCTCTTGGTGGCCATGTCTCTCTCTCTCTCGCTGGGCTCCAGCAGCAGTTCTGAGGAGTCGGGGGGCGAGGCCAGCGTGGTGCTGAGCAGGAGGTGCTCATGTTGGGATAGGTACTGGGCCGGGGTCTGCTTGGCCGCACGCGCACAGTGGAGCAACTCCCTCTGCAGTAGGGGCAGGTTGGCCTGGGGGGGGGGGGGGAGAAAGGGAGGGGAGTGTCATTTGGAAAGCAGAGAGAGAGCGAGAGAAGTATAATATACAGTATTCTTGTGAGTTCCTGTAATTATGTTTTCTCAAAGCCTACAAAATCTAACTACAGGGATCACGGCTGTCAAGGAAACGCCACGGAAACGCCATGTAGACGCAGTGGCATCATGGAGACAGTATAGATGCCATACTGTTGCCATAAAAGAGCTGGCTACTATTTCTTAGCTGACAAAACTAGTTGGGAATATTTTCATTCTCTATGACTTTACTGATCAAAAGTTAAATATGCTGATCTGATCTTGTGCAAATTCGAAGTGAATTTCCTATTAAATCCAACTGACATGTCCACAAAATATCATTACATGTCATTTTTTGGTGAAAAACCTGAAACGCATCAGCGACTTATTTACATATCGCGGTATGGTCATGGAGCCTCTGCGGAGTCCTCACGGAAATGCCATGGCGACACGGCAGAGACACTAGGCAGAGACGTATCACTGAGGAGGCCCAGGGGGAGAAAGACATACAGCAGATCTCTCCCTGAGAGGCCAGAGACACATGCATACACACACACTCTCTCCCCTCCTCACGGGGGTTAAAAATGGCCGCCGTCTCAGTCTGTCTGCCTAGCGTAAGCCCCGTGACTGTTTCTGCTGCCCACCTTTCAGTAGATCACTGCAAAACCCAAACACATAGGAGGAGAAATGAGGCTTCATGTAAGGGAGTGTGTGTAGTAGAAGCAAGGCTGAGTGGAATGAGAGTCTGCGGAGGTCAAATGAGACAGAGAGAGAGAAGAGGGAGGGACAGAACGATACAGAGGAGGAGAGGAGGAAGACAAACATCACATGGTGCAATCAGAACGCAGGCCCCCTCATAGGGGGTAAAGAGAGCGGGACAAGCGAAAGAGAGAAAAAGAGTGATGAGCGGAGGCAGAACAGAATGGCCACCGAGCCTGATGAGAGGATGCAGGCTCCTCCCTCCCTCCCTCCCTCTCTCTATTTCTCTTTCCATCTCTTAATGAGCAACAGGTCCGAGTGTGCTTATAATTATAGACTTCCTCATTCCCCCGTTCTCCATTTAAGACCCTTACCCCCCCTACCCAGGGCCACCGCTACATCAGTCCACCACATATGTTGTCTGTCAGTTAAGCGCCGGTCTCTCTTTCTGCTGGGCGGATGCGAAATTGGCGGCGCCGGGCAAGCCTGAATGACTGCTTTCTTTTAATGCGACACAGAGTCCATATGGCGCACTGTTGAGCCCCATTAAAGGAGGGAGGGAATGGTTTATAGTCATGTTTCACACTTCCGAGCTCTGTCCCTCTTTCTTTTCGAGCTATCCACTGCCACGGTGCTAAGGAGGGAAGGAGGGAGGGCGGGAGAAGTTGGGGAGCCTGGTAAATTAAGAAGAAGAAAAAATGTATTTTATTCTTTCAGAGAGTCGGGGTTCTGAAAGGTGAAGGAGAGGTAAACCATGGAAAAAGAGCTGATTTTCACCTTCTGAAGAATGGAGCAAAAACACTGAGAAATTTGACTTGATGGAAGATTTATGTTGGCTTGTCATGAGGGTAGCTCTTAATAAGTATTCAATTTCAGGCCCCCATGTTGCAAAGTTACTCAACGGCCCAATTAAATAGCGCAACCCCTGTCGCTCGTTAAGTCAACGCATACAACTATATTGTTACTTGGGAATGACCGAAAGGCAATAAATAAATACATTCACAACCCCAATTCTCTGTTTGTATGACAAACGTCTTGACGTCGAATATTCAATTTGAGAAATGTCCATGTTTTCCTAATTTGTAATAATGCTACCGTGTACTTGCGGTTTCTCATTATTTATTACCATATTTGCATTTTTATTAGTTCAAGATTTCTGAAGCTCCTCTATGGTTCATGAAAGGAATAGGGCTGCGTCTCAAACGGTACCCTATATAGTGCACTACTTTTGACCAGAGCTAGCTGGAGGTTGGTGGCACCTTAATTGGGGAGGACGGGCTTGTGGTAATGGCTGGAGCGGAATAGTTGGAATGGTATCAAATACATCAAACACATGGTTTCCAGGTGTTTGATGCCAATCCATTTGCTACGTTCCAGCCATTATTATGAGCCGTTCTCCTCTCAGCAGCTTCCATTAAGACAGACAGATAATCTTTCAGTGGAGACTGCTGAGGGGAGGATGGCATTTGGGATGCACACTCGCTGTTCCTTCAATACAAAACATCTGCTTTTTCCACCCCTGATTTCATGACTAATTATATGCAGTCCTTGAATCATTGTAAACCTCCTCCGAACATCAAACGCCTTGTGAAGAGGACAAAGGGGAACGCTGTCGTCCGCACAGCACAGGCCTGGATTCAGTTTATCAATATTTCCACCACATAGGGAGAGAACGAGAGAGAGACAGATAGAAAGAGAAATAGAGAGAGGGGAAATAGAGAGAAGGTAGGTGTTACCTTGAGGAAGGGAATGACGAAGGGTCTCAGGGGGAAGTTGGTGGCTTCTTGGAGCCGCGAGTGGAACTCCTCGATGGTGACCGTTGAATTCTGGGACAGAGGAGAGATCAGCCAACCACAGTTCCCCTCTCAAGGTTCAAAGTCTCCAACACTGAGCGTGTTTTAGATCAACTATGTTGCAGTCGTCAGCAACTGCAGACTGACTGATCTACAAATCATTTGGCATCATAAATAGACCCAAACTACAGTGGATCAGTCCATTTGTAGATCAGTGAAAATGGATGCTCTCGGACACGATGATAGACTTTAAATCGCTTCGATCACTGAGTGACCAGTGCAATAACTACAGAGCACCTTAAGTAAGTTTCCCTTTCAACTGTCAATCAACCTGCTCATGGATGAAAGATGATTGTGCACAGATGATAGATAGGTATTATCTGGAGCACAGTGCTCAATATGTTGCAGATGGGGCCTCTCAAAACCAATACTGTAGGTCCACTTGAGCCACATATAGCGAATATACGGGCATGTTCCTTCCAAAATAAAATATAGGCCTACATAAATAAACATACTATATTTTATACTGAACAAAAATCTAAATGCAACATGTAAAGTGTTGGTCCCATGTTTCATGAGCTGAAATAAAAAAGCGTATTTCTCAAATTGTGTGTGAAAATTTGTTAACGTCCTTGTTTGTGAGCATTTCTCCTTTACCAAGATAATCCATCCACTTGACAGGTGTGGCATATCAAGAAGCTGATTAAACAGCATGATCATTACACAGGTGCACCTAGTGCTGGGAACAATAAAAGGCCACTCTAAAATGTGCACCTGGACAGCTGATGAAACTGTGGAGTATTTCTGTTTGTAATAAAGCCCTTTTGTGGGGAAAAACTCATTCTGATATGCCTTCCCAGGCCCACCAATGGCTGCGCCCCTGCCCAGTCATGTGAAATCCTTAGGGCCTAATTAATTTATTTCAATTGACTGATTTCCTTACATGTAACTCAATAAAATCGTTGAAATTGTTGCATGTTGGTTTATATTTTTGGTCAGTATATGTTTGCCAGATTTGTAGTGAAATCAACATTTATGTTGAAATATATAATTCAATTAAACTCAATTCACTTTATTCATCCCGAGGGTAAATTATCAAATCGCTACTCAAATCAAATGCAACACATCAATACAGAACAATGCAAAGTGACAAGGTTTTTTACAGGCGTTCCATCCATCGTTCCTAAAATGTTTCATCAACCACTTACCACGAGGGCAAGCACCAGGTTGCGGACGCTCTCTCCGATCTCGGGGGAGATGTCATTGCCGAACTGCTGCAGCGTCGTCAGGAAGCGTTTGAGCTTGCTGAGCTGCCTGGCACCGCACGTGGCCGGGAGCTGCTGATTGGCCAGCGAGGAGGAAGAAGAGGAGCTGGGCCCGTTGCTGTAGCGCTGGGGCGGTGAGGGCACGGCGTTCAGCATGGGCGGGGAGTGGTGGATCCCATTGGTCACTGGGGGAGGGAAGAGGTGGCACGGGGTGGGAGAAGAGCCAAAGAGAGGTCAGCGTAGGAGGTCAAAGAAGTTACCGGAGGAGCTGATAGACTGAATGGGTTGACGCAATCTTTCATATTGGAATCGTCAGATCTTTTATCATGTTTAAGATTTAAGGCCATGAATTAAGGCAGACGAAGACAAGAAGACATACATTTACAGTATCAGGATACACAAAAATCATGTACCACAATCCCCTAATCCAGGGGTGTCAAACTCATTCCACGGAGAGCAGTGTCTGCGAGTTTTTGTTTTTTCCTTTCAATTAAGACCTAGACAACCAGGTGAGGGGAGTTCCTTACTAATTAGTGACCTTAATTAATCAATCAAGTACAAGGGTGGAGCAAAAACACTCGGCCCTCCGTGGAATGAGTTTGACACGTGCCCTAATCAATTTATGAATCACACAGCTCAAATCTGCTGGTTGCTATTAAAAAAGGAGTGAATCCTAACTTCCATTTATGTCACAATTTTCACTTAGCCATGCACTAAGTGAAAACTAAGTGAAGTTACGATTCACCCCAAAGCGCAGGCCCTTGGAGGCTCCTCTAGGGGGAGCTAGTGGCAGTGGGCGCTGTCATGGAGTCGGCGAGTCTGTGTATGGTCAAGTTGCCCTTAGAAGCTTATCATGGGTCAGTTTTGTATTTCCCCCCACTAATGTGTAAGGTTGCGATTGGGGGAGGAGAACGTGATCTTAGATCTGCACCTAAGGGAAACTTCACCCCGGCGCGCGGTACTCACGTGTGGTGGAGGAGAAGGAGGCTGGCCGAGGCCCGCTAGGGTTGATGGAGGGCAGGGGGGGCATGGTGGCGCTGCTGCTGCTGCTGGGGGCTGGTCTGGAATGAGTCTTGACATCCACAGGAGAGCCGGGCATGGCAGGGGTCTTCTTCTCTCCACTGTCTGAAGGGGGAGAAAGAGGGGAGGGGGGGGGAGAGAGAGAGAGGATGCGTGGTCAATAGGTGCATGTGGGGAGTGGTCATTATGTGGTCGAGGTGTTCATTCAGACACAGTTTGCATGCAGGCACACACATCTGTACGTACATGGTAATGTGTGGCACAGTTGGTAGAGCATGGCGCTTGCAACGTCAGGGTTGTGGTTTTGATTCCCACGGGGGACCAGTACGAAAGAAGTATGAAAATGTATGAACTCACTACTGTAAGTTGCTCTGGATAAGTGTCTGCTAAATGACAAAAAAAATGTAAGTAAATGTAAGTAGGTTTGAAGTTTTGATCATCAGCCACTCAAGTTAAACACTATCCTAAGCCTCATTTTCAGATTCAGCTCAATATTTTCAATGCAGAGACTCTTCAAGTCCTTTCCTTTGTCAGAACCTCCCCCGCCTCCACTCCCACCCCCTTTAGACCCTACTAGAGAAACCAGATGTCTTGGGGTCTAGCCTTGCCTTGAGATCCTCCACCCCTCCATTGAGATCCATGGCAGAAGTGCTAATGAAGAAAAACCATTGTGTTCATGGAGAAGAATGGCTTTTCATTGAGCCAGTGGGACAGGGGCCGAAGAGAGAGGGGGAGAGAAGCAAAAGCTTTTGAATGTTAAACGCATACTTCTCAATATGCCACGGCCAATGAATGAACTGAATGGGACCACCAGATCAGGGGATGGGGAGAGAGAGACAGAGAAAGAGAGAGAGAAAGAGAGGGAGAGATTGTAATAATCTTTGGATCAGAGGGCGTCTTTGTTGGGGCAGATCCCATGAAGGCTGCATCTTGTCTCCATTTGGGGTGGATCAGACGCTTCCAACTGCTTTTAGACGGACGATTAATAGACAAGCAGGGTTTTAAAGGGTCAAAGGTTGGGTGAGACGGCTCTTTTCAATAGAGTTCCATGGTTTTAGGGCTTTTCTTTAGGGTGGGACTATTATGCTCTTTTGATGCTATGAACTGAGTGTCTGTCTCTTCATACACAAACATATGAATGCAATAGCCAGTACTTTAGTGACATTTAAGTGTGTATTGTATTTCATATGAAAGCGTGGGTTAATACAAACGTGGGTAAGAACTAGGGTGAAATACAATGTGGAGTTATTTGGCATGTTGAAATAAACAATAATTCTAGTAACTCATTAGTTCGTAGACAACCCTCAGAAAAGGGAAAAGCAACACAGGTATATGCTTGCTTTGTAGTCAATATTTTTCTTTTGAATGACCAAAGCCAGCACACAAGCATGGACACACACATTCCCACACAACAGCGAGGGTTGACCTGAACTCTCGGGCTTGCACCGTTGCACCCCACGATTTGACAGCCCCCCTCTGCCCCTGCACCTGAGCCCCACTTTGACTCTACCCACCCTTCATTTGTCCCTCTTCTTGTCCTCCTCTCTCTCCATCCCGTGGCCTGCCTGCTATCACTCCACCTGTTCACTAGAGCAGGGGGCAGGAAGGAGGGCTATACACAGCCATTTGGGCTTCTGTCACACACAGACGCACGCACGCACACAGACACGCACGCACTCACACACCGTGCCAGCACGTCGCAGGGAGCCGCCTGGATCGCACACACACACCCTGGTTCCAATGCTCCACACACTCCTTATGGTCAGGAAATGAGGATGATGTCGCAATAGCACAATCCATGGGACGCATAACTTAATAATAACAATATCTGGGCCAACAACAAAAATAGTATGTTATGTGGGAATTCTTTCAGAACTGATATGCAACTCCATCGTCGGAGTAAACCCAACCCTCCATTGCTTTCAATATATTCATTTATTTTTTCAGTTTACCCCTACCTATATGTACTGGTACTCCCTGTACAGTGGAGGAAAAAAGTATTTAGTCAGCCACCAATTGTGCAAGTTCTCCCACTTAAAAAGATGAGAGAGGCCTGTAATTTTCATCATAGGTACACGTCAACTATGACAGACAAAATGAGGAAATAAAATCCAGAAAATCACATTGTAGGATTTTTTATGAATTTATTTGCAAATTATGGTGGAAAATAAGTATTTGGTCAATAACAAAAGTTTCTCAATACTTTGTTATATACCCTTTGTTGGCAATGACACAGGTCAAACGTTTTCTGTAAGTCTTCACAAGGTTTTCACACACTGTTGCTGGTATTTTGGCCCATTCCTCCATGCAAATCTCCTCTAGAGCAGTGATGTTTTGGGGCTGTCGCTGGGCAACACAGACTTTCAACCCCCTCCAAAGATTTTCTATGGGGTTGAGATCTGGAGACTGGCTAGGTCACTCCAGGACCTTGAAATGCTTCTTACGAAGCCACTCCTTCGTTGCCCGGGCGGTGTGTTTGGGATCATTGTCATGCTGAAAGACCCAGCCACGTTTCATCTTCAATGCCCTTGCTGATGGAAGGAGGTTTTCACTCAAAATCTCACGATACATGGCCCCATTCATTCTTTCCTTTACACGGATCAGTCGTCCTAGTCCCTTTGCAGAAAAACAGCCCCAAAGCATGATGTTTCCACCCCCATGCTTCACAGTAGGTATGGTGTTCTTTGGATGCAACTCAGCATTCTTTGTCCTCCAAACACGACGAGTTGAGTTTTTACCAAAAAGTTATATTTTGGTTTTATCTGACCATATGACATTCTCCCAAACCTCTTCTGGATCATCCAAATGCGCTCTAGCAAACTTCAGACGGGCCTGGACATGTACTGGCTTAAGCAGGGGGACACGTCTGGCACTGCAGGATTTGAGTCCCTGGCGGCGTAGTGTGTTACTGATGGTAGGCTTTGTTACTTTGTTCCCAGCTCTCTGCAGGTCATTCACTAGGTCCCCCCGTGTGGTTCTGGGATTTTTGCTCACCGTTCTTGTGATCATTTTGACCCCACGGGGTGAGATCTTGCGTGGAGCCCCAGATCGAGGGAGATTATCAGTGGTCTTGTATGTCTTCTATTTCCTAATAATTGCTCCCACAGTTGATTTCTTCAAACCAAGCTGCTTACCTATTGCAGATTCAGTCTTCCCAGCCTGGTGCAGGTCTACAATTTTGTTTCTGGTGTCCTTTGACAGCTCTTTGGTCTTGGCCATAGTGGAGTTTGGAGTGTGACTGTTTGAGGTTGTGGACAGGTGTCTTTTATACTGATAACAAGTTCAAACAGGTGCCATTAATACAGGTAACGAGTGGAGGACAGAGGAGCCTCTTAAAGAAGAAGTTACATGTCTGTGAGAGCCAGAAATCTTGCTTGTTTGTAGGTGACCAAATACTTATTTTCCACCATAATTTGCAAATAAATTCATAAAAAATCCTACAATGTGATTTTCTGGATTTTTTTCTTCTCAATTTGTCTGTCATAGTTGACGTGTACCTATGATGAAAATTACAGGCCTCTCTCATCTTTTTAAGTGGGAGAACTTGCACAATTGGTGGCTGACTAAATACTTTTTTCCCCACTGTATATAGCAATGTTACTTTTACTCTATTGCTATTCACTGTGTATTTATTCCTCGTGTCACTATTTCTCTCTCTCTATTTTTTATCTTTATCTTGAACTCTGCATTGTTGGAAAAGGACCTGTAAGTAAGCATTTCACTGTAAGTCTACACCTGTTGTTTTACGATGATTTGATTTGTGCTTCGCTTGAGTACATCCGCCTCAAGTCAAAAGCATACCACACTGTCCGGGTTCACACTCTTTTCAAGAGGTAATTTTTCAGGATTTGTAAATAACATTTCTACCAAGACATAAAAAGTGAGACAGTGGCCGTGTCCAAAATCTGTCTTAACTACTACTTACTAAAACTTTAGAACTCAAGTATGGGTATTCGGACATGGCCAGTACTTGAACAGACTGTGTATTACAAGAACGCTTTCTTTATGAAGCCAATTTTGTAGCATGATTTACTACAGTAACCATACAGCTCTAGCATCACGCGCTAGTCAAATTAAATAGGGAAACCTTGGCTATGACAAAGGTAATCTAGAAGACATTGCATGGCACCGTTACAGATCATTTAATGTAATATTTAAATTAGTTGGCCATAGCCGGATGACTTCCTACCTGTGACTACTACTGTCAGTCTGAAGGACACGTCGAGCAGCTGGCACATCAGCCCAAACACACACTATTAGGGAAAATGGTCCAGTGTTAGCGCAAAGAGACACCTATGTTTACCAGTCAATATTGGCCTTGTGCAAAAAGTCTATCTAGCTGGCCTGAGTGCCACCTGTCACCATATCCCTGATATGGATGAACAAAAAGGAAGACATAGAGAGAGCAACAACAAAGAAAATGAAAAAATGTGCCTGAAAAGTAACGCTGTAGTGTACATAGAAATATAATCTAGAATGACTTGAATGTGGAAGCCCATTCCATAGCTTCTATTTCTATGATAATGTGAACATTCCCTGAAGCTGTTTCAAAGATCTGGTATACTTTTTAATTACTTTTTTTAAATGTCACGCAAAGGATAATACTATAGATTAGAATACACTGGCATAGATACCTAGTTAGCTTTCAGACAGTCCTAGCAAATTTACTGCTTGAGAAATTGCTCTTTGCTAAGAAGCCATTTATTATTTTTGACTATTGTAATTGAAAACAATTACAGTAAATGTACTTAATTGTTACCAAGAAATTATTTGATATTGAGATAAAAACAGCTACATTGGTCCTTCATATACTGTATATTACTACTAATCGTACTATAGCCTATTTAGAACATACTGTTTAGGACAAATGTATGCAGTATGAAACAAATATCAACATACTACTCATCCATACAGAGAAGGCGTCATTGAATTGGTAATCGCACTTGTTCCGCGCCAAATCGTTGATTTTTGTAGAGAATTGTTCCTCTATTCTGATTATCAGCTGTCGTCGAACACACGTGGGTGTGAAAAGACAATTATCTTCCTCAATAGTGTGTACCAAAATTCTACTAGATGAAAAGCCAAAATGAGTATGACATCTGAGCATTTAAAGTATACCAATTCATCGCAAACTCACATGGCCTACTATGTAGGCCGCAAGTATGCGTATTTGGACACGGCCTACCTCTTAAATCGTTCATGTTATTTTCTTATTTTATATAGATAGATATCTCCTGTGCACCAGGTGTCTCCAATCTCCCACTCTAATAAGCAATCTAACAGCTGTGGAGAGACTGGGGGTGGGAGAGAGAGGTTTCGAGAAACAGATGAAGCGGTGAACTGGAATGGCCGACATCCTCCTTACTGCGGTCTATTCCCTCATGGCCCGTAAAAGAGTCACTGCATTGAATAACTAGATCAAATGTGACACGTGTGTGTGTCTTGAGGATAATTGTGTTATATTTGAGTGGGTAATCAGATGAAAAATGCAGATGGAAGAAGCATGTTTAGTTGATAAGAGTGACTTTGAGCGTGTGGTACAGAAATGTCAATTATATGTCATCAGTTATCCTCTGTAGCTCAGCTGGTAGAGCACGGCGCTTGTAACGCCAAGGTAGTGGGTTCGATCCCCGGGACCACCCATACACAAAAAAAATGTATGCACGCATGACTGTAAGTCGCTTTGGATAAAAGCGTCTGCTAAATGGCATATTATTATTTATTATTTATCAGTTACAAAAGCTCTGAGTCTCATACTGGGATGCAGGAAAATAAACTAGGATACAAGGAAGGAAAGAAAGCATATTATAAGGCTTCCAAAACTCAACTCGACCTTGAAGCCAGTTCTACTGCATTTTTTCCATTGTTCCCCTCTAATCAGGGACTGATTTAGACCTGTGACACCAGGTGTGTGCAATTCATTATCAGGTAGAACAGAAAACCAGCAGGCTCCGGATCTCATAGGGTGCCCCGAGTGGATTGAAAACATGCTTTGGTGATGATATTTCACTTCCTTATGTTATAAAATATACTGAACAAAAATATGAACGCAACAATTTCAACGATTTTACTGAGTTATAGTTCATATAAGGAAATCGGTCAATTTAAATACATTCATTAGGTCCTAATTTATGAATTTCACAAGACTGGGAATACAGATATGCACCTTAAAAAAGAAAAGGTAGGGGCGTGGATCACAAAAGCAGACAGTATCTGGTGTGACCACCATTTACCTCATGCAGCGCAACACATCTCCTTCACATAGAGTTGATCAGGCTGTTGATTGTGGCCTGTGGAATGTTGTCCCACTCCTCTTCAATGGCTGTGCGAAGTTGATGGATATTGGCGGGAACTGGAACACGCTGTCATACACGTCGATCCAGAGCATTCCCAACATGCTCAATGGGTGACATGTCTGGTGAGTATGCAGGTCATGGAAGAACTGGGACATTTTCAGCTTCCAGGAATTATGTACAGATACTTGCGACATGGGGCCATGCATTATCATGCTGAAACATGAGGTGATGGCGGCGGATGAATGGCACGACAATGGGCCTCAGGATCTTGACACGGTATCTCTGTGCATTCAAATTGCCATCGATAAATTGCAATTGTGTTTGTTGTCCGTAGCTTATGCCTGCCCATACAATAACCCCACAGCCACCATGGGGCACTCGGTTCACAACGTTGACATCAGCAAACCGCTCACCACACAACGCCATACACGTGGTCTGAGGTTGTGAGGCCGGTCGGACATACTATCAAATTCTCTAAAACGACGTTGGAGACAGCTTATGGTAGAGAATTTAACATTAAATTATCTGGCAACAGCTCTGGTGGACAATTCTGCAGTCAGCATGCCAATTGCACGCTCCCTCAAAACTTGAGACATCTATGGCATTGTGTTGTGTGATAAAACTGCACATTTTAGAGTGGCCTTTTATTTTCCCCAGCACAAGGTGCACCTGTGTAATGATCATGCTGTTTAATCATCTTCTTGATATGCCACACCTGTCAGGTGGATGGATTATCTTGGCAAAGGAGAAATGCTCACTAACAGGGATGTAAAAGAGAAAAAAGCTTTTTGTGCATATGGAACATTTCTGGGATCTTTCATTTCAGCTCATGAAACATGGGGCCAACACTTTACATGTTGCGTTTATTTTTTTGTTCATTGTACATTTTACATCTGGCCATCCAACTAGGGTAAAACCTCCAATAACTTTTGAACGGATTATGATAGAGACTTGAGGTTTGGACCATTGTTTATTTTTTTAGGATTATATACACAATTAACATATTTTACCCATTGGTCAAAAGATGTCTTTTCATGATCTACGACTCATCTTGACACTAATGGGGGATGGAGTGAGGAGTGGCAGCGCAGGCATTCACCACTTATCACTGTCTGACAGCTTCCTCTGAACATACATCAAATCAAATCAAGCCTTATTTATCCAGCACATTTCAGACATGGAATGCAACGCAATGTGCTTCACAGGAAAAAACTAATAAAAACAACGAAAATGAAATATTTACTACACAACAAACAAAACAAAAGAATAACAATAAAACTGAACGATTAAAAGCCCCATAAGGTAAAGCAAAGCTACAAAGCTGTGTTTTAAGATCTCTTAAACATGTCCACAGTTTCGGCCCCCCTCAGGTTCTCTGGCAGACTATTCCAGAGGCTGGGGGCATAGTAACTAAAGGCTGCCTCTCCATGCCTCCTGGTCCTAGCTTTGGGATAGTTAAAAAGGCCAGTGCCAGAGGACCTGAGGGACCTACTGGGTACATAACTTAAAAGCATGTCTGATATACATTTACATTTTAGTCATTTAGCAGACGCTCTTATCCAGAGCGACTTACAGTTTTAGTGAGTGCATACATTTGTCATACTGGCCCCCCGTGGGAATGTATTGTGGTGCACAATCGTGGATTGATTTAAAAAGCAATAGAAGAATCGTACAATTAATTCTAAAACTCACAAGCAGCCAGTGCAGAGACCTTCAATCCGGTGTAATGCTCTTCATCTTGTCTTGGTCAGTACCCGTGCTGCAACATTCACGTGCACAACATTTCCTGGCGTGTGGCCATTCCAACCCACACATAGCTAACCTTTATGTTGTAACTCAAGGACACCTGACAGACAATGTGACAGTACCACAACAACAACAACAGCACCAATGTCTCAAACAACAAATGGAAAAGAGCTTCTGCATTCTGTGTCAAAATGACTAGCATTTCGCTTCACAAGCGAGACACGTAGAGCGCTTCTAAAATACAAATTCTACTTCTGTTTTTAGAAAGATACATTTCCATCAAAAGGCCTTGGTAGTTCTGAGCTCTGAATGCTTAGAAATCCATATAAAAGAAATGACAACACAAAAACGGACCATTGCACCCACCTACCTACCGCCCTCGCACTCCAACCAACAAAACTCTCAGGAGATAGATATATACATCGAGAGAAAGAGAGAGAATGAAAAGGAGAGATACAAAAATTTAAAGTTAGAGAGGGAGAAAGTCAAAAAGAGGACAAGAAGAGAATGCTGCCCGCCAAGCCAAGGACACAAAAGGTTTAAGCTATCAGCCCCTTAGCACCACCACCGCTACCGTTGCTGCCTCAATCCCAAACCACCCCCCCCCCCCCCCCCCCCTCCGCCATATGGATCTAATCGGGCAAGAGGCTGGCCAGCTGGGACCCCCAACAGTCACCTGTGACAGAGAAAGAGGGGACAGAAGGGCCCCAGCTCCCCCAGCCAAGGGGAGAGACACAATACTGTGTTCCAAGGGAAGGAGAGAGGGAGAGAGAGAGGGGGATAGAGGGAGCAGGGGTAAAGACACGAGGCACTGAATGCAGCGGGGTGAGAGTGGACTTAAGGCTGGAAACAAAGCCTGCACCTGGTCTCTGCCCGTCCACACGCACTGACAATACAGCGCACATCTGTTACCCTCTCTGCCTTTCTCTCGCTCTGTCTGTTGCCCACACACACACAAACACATGCGCAAAAGCACATACACGCAAGCACATAAACACAAAAGCACACACACATGCGCTAAATAACACACATACATTCACACAAACACACGCGGTCAGGCCGAGCCATCCTCGTGTCCTCCACAGCTAAGCAACAGGTTTGAACAACTCCCCCATGACAACTGGGTAAATAAAGGCTTAGCGCTTGCTCCTAAATCGGGGGTCTGTCTGTGTGTGTGTGTGTGTGGTGTCAGCTTTCTGATATGCGGGAGGAATACGCAGCTAGCTCCATTCAGCTCATTTGAATAAACTTTATTTATAGTATTTGCCTCTCGGGCGGCGACAACTCCAATCGGCCAATGGAACATTTTATTGTAACCTCCGTAGTGTCTAATCAACTGGGGGTGTTAAAAGATTATTTACTACCTATGGACAGGTAAATATTATTTATAATATTTTGTGGGGCCTTGATCCAAGACAGACTCAAATTAAGTCCTGCCTAACATTTCAGACAGAGCAAGACATCCAAGGCTGCATCCCAAATGGCACCCTATTCCCTATATAGTGGACTACTTTAGACCAGAGCTCTACGGTCTCTGGTTAAAACTTGTGCACTATTAAGGGAACATGCAGCCATTTGGGACACAGCCCAAGTCCGTTGGACAAGCAACGTCAGGGAAAATAAATGAGTCTACACGTTAGAGGCGCCACGGAGGGAAAAAGGCCTCAAACGGCCCGGCTGTATGTTTGTCTTGGCTCGCCTTACATCTCAAACTACATAGCTGGACCCGGGCCCCACGTCAACAGGGTACCTTTGTGTGTGTGTGTCCGTCCGAGTGTGTGTGAGTAAGTAACAGATGTGTCGTCAACGTGGGCCCATCACGTTTCTCAGAGACGAAGGGATGGGAGAAAAGAGAGGGTGGAGGCGGCTACTGACTGATCAGGGTGGGAGCACTCTTTGCCCCCCCCCCCCTCCCATCCCTCCCTCCCCCCCCCTCCAGTCTATAACCTCGTCTCTCAGCAGTAATTACAAAAACACAAACGGCTGTCCTGGCTGGTGCCTGTAAAAAATGACTGCAGAGATGGAATAGCACTTACTGGCACAGAATGACAGAGAAACAGCAGAGAGAGAAGAGAGAAAGAAACACGAGCGAGTGAGAGAGAGAGAGTGAGAGAGAGAGAGCGCGCGCGAGAGAGACAGAGAGAGAGAGAGAGAGAGAGAGAGAGAGAGAGAGAGAGAGAGCAAAAGCAGAAGACTGTACGGTGTACAAACGCCTGCTATAAAAGTGTGGCCCCATGAAAAAAAAAGTGACATTGAATTCAAAAAGCAGGGAAGGAACGGGCGATTGGGAGAGAGGACTCATAAATACTGTAGGACCTGAGGAAGGGAACGGCTTCAACGTGGACATGAGATCAGCGCTCTGGGTTTAAATGGCCCTCCACCTGTGTGATAGGGTGCGTCCCATATGTTCCCTATATAATGCATTAGTTTTCATCAGAGCCCATATGGCTCTGGTCAAAGTAGTGCACTATATAGGAAATAGGGTGCCTCTACACCCCCCTGTACACTATTCAATCCCAATTGTTAAGGATGGCTGTGACATTCTTCTCTTCAGTTGGGTGTTTTTCTGTTCCACACAGAGTATTGATGCGTTTGATGAATGCACGAATCCAAATGGCTTAGGTCAACCCCTAGAAACCTGGTTTACAGATTTGATTGAATAAGGTCATTTTAAAATCTCCATGGACTGTGTCTTCATTTAACAAAACAAGTAATAGGTTATAGGGAAGTCGTCTGATATACTAGTATGTTGGTGATGCTTGAAACGGAGTCACACACACAAACACCAGTGACTGACGGGGACACACACACGATCACATTAAGTCTGTAACCAATGGCTCGATTGTCACTTTTTGACTGGGAGTATCATCCATTTCAGTGGCACAACACACACCTGCGTCACTGAGTGCCGCTGGGTTAGATGGAGGGTGTGTGTGTGTGTGTTTCTGTCTGTCTGTCTGTCTGTCAGTCGGTCTATAGAGGCTAGTACCAGTTGTGGGGTCAGTCACCAGGTGAGTGGGAAACTCATACAAAAAAATTCTGTGAACACATCTATGCAAAACAAAAGCTTGTCAAAAAGCCAAAAATCACACACTGAATGACGAAGTGACATAACCCCTATTTGCATCCTTCATCCATCCCCATTCTACCCCCATTCCCACACCAGCAGCACTCCTTCTCATTGCCCAATAGATGCTTATAGGGTTACAGCCCTTCTCACCTCTCCATGCCTAATTGATTTGCTTGCCATCAATCATCCTAGTCCCCACCACCCTGATGTCTCTTTCAACTCCAACTGCGCCCATGAAAAACGATCACCGACAATTACATGACACATTAAAATGGGGAAGCAGCGCGAGTAGTGTTGCTGTCATCCCTTCGGATTTTACCTCAACTTTCTGCCGCCACTGTTGATTAACGACCCGGCTCGCAAAACACATCGATAAAACTCCCTTGACACTGAGCACGGTCGTAAATCAGAGAGTGGTGGGTGCTCATGAGTTCTTCTGTCTTTCAAAGGGTCAGACAAACCGGCTCCTATTCATTACGAACCGCCTGACATTCCACTTAACCTGCTGGCCTAGACAGCACTCGTTTTTTATCATGTCGGACATGGACGGAGTCAGAGAGAGGCAGCGCCGAGGCGAAAGCGTGTGACACTAGTCTACTATAGCAAGCACAGGCAGCGTTCGTCTGATTAAATCAGGCTGTAAAACCCAACTAATTGCTATATACAGCCTGAAACGAATGCCTGCAAAATCATGAAAATGATCCTTACAAGCCAGAATGTTTAATAAAATTACATTTAAAGTAGCCGACTAAACTCAACTCCACGATTTATGATAGAGTTGTGTCCACTAGTGTGCCCAGCAGACTGGGGAACTGTATTGAGATCAAATGTTGAATCGATGAGAACATTTGCAGAATGTCGGCCAGAATCCATCCATATTTGGTAGTGAGTGGAAATGCCCACCGGATGCTTCACATTTAGAAATCCAGTGAAATATCTGTCTCATTGTTCTATCTGTGGCTCTGCTCCGTGAAGTGCAAGAAGTATGAATGCCCTGACTTCTGCAGAGGCCGCATTGCAGTAATTGCTGTAAGGCCAATGCAGACTCCAGATTGACCATGCTGCTAGCTTTACTCTACCGGTTGCCTGTGCGGTTTGTCCTTCAGCTGCTCAAAATTTGAGTCAAAATATCCACAGGAAAGTATTGTTTACCCCACTTAGAGAGCTGGTAGGTAGCCTATTAGGTTCGCTTTGGCACCAATGTAAAATTAGTTTTATATTGGATAGGCCTATTCGGTTCTCATCAATAGCTATTGAACCAAGCATGCCATGACAATGAAAATCATATATTCTGAATCAGGGGAGGATGGAGAACCATCCACACCTTATATATATATATTTTTAGATGGTTTTGAAGATTTAAATTCAACAAAAAATAATAATACTTGAATATACAATTTTCATCAATATATTCCTGTAGCTATTTTGTCTAAAATTAGAGTAAGTTTAAATCTGGCTTGTAGGGACCATTTACATGATTTTGCAGGCATTAGTTTCAGGATATATATACCAATTAATTGTGTATTACAGCCTGATTAATCAGACAAGGCAGTGTTGTCCATAAAATTGGATACAAGCTTTCAACAGGAACGAGAGACACTAGTAAGGCAAGCTCGTTTGAGACCAGGTGCAAGGAGGGAGGCTTAATATGAACAGCTCCACCAAGGGAAAGAGGAGGTCAATCAAAGCCAGATGTTCAATACGCCACAGGCCATGTTTAACGCATGAATAAGCCTTGGTTTTCACAACGCAGATTATGACGGTGGAATACTTGCACATTGACAGAGGGAAAATGTCAGAAGATGAGTAATACAAGTCATAAATAGTCAGATATGGGAAATGTTGGGAGTATACCCCCTGAAGTCTCAATTTGAAAAGTTCTTAAATGGTTGGGAGCAAGCCAGGAGAATGCACCTAGAGCAGGCGTGTAAAGCATTGCAGTGGAATGTTGGACTTATAGCCTACTGTCTTGCATTGACGTGTAGCCTACAGGCCTGTTCACATGCATTGTAGGGCTATCCTTACCCAATCTATTTGCCAATTTATTTAATTCATGAATTGGCTTTCATGAGAGTCCGCTAATAGCCTAATATTCTCTCTGCAACTTCAACATAAAACCCTTGACCTAAGGAATGAGGGTGGAGTGATTAAAAATACACACATCATGACATGTAACTATTTCCACATTCACACAATGCCCCGTTAATCATCAGCCAGCCATATGTGCCTATTTCCCAGGAGTGTGCCAGAGCAGGCCCATGTATGTACTCATCCACTGGGGTTGAGCTGTGGGTTAAGGCGTCCGCATACTATGTTCTGTTTGCGTCCAGCAGAACTCGGCTAGGCGTAACCGAAAGTCTGTGCTCGCATACTCCCTAATAGACCTTCACTTGCAAAATGAGAAATAATGGCAGTATTACTGTTGTTTGTCCCTCTTGAGACACCATAGCAACAACATAGCCAGTACAGTTCCTCAAAATAGTCTGAATGAATCTAAGATAAATCAAGAAATCTGTAATTAATTTCGACGTTTTTGCCGAGGAGGCCTTCGTTGCGCAATTTTACATTAGGCAAAATTGTTTGGTGCAGTATTTGCATGAAAACGAGTTGTCTCTCGTTGAATGACAACAAACAGTTAATTGACGAATCCCGTTCATAGTTCCCACCCATACTGTTGACCAATCACAGGTGAAGGGGCATAGACTTCGGCTACCGAACTTCGACTTGCCTCAACAAAAACATTTGGTGTGCACGAACAGCCTAAAAAATCCCTGCCGAACACCAAAACAAACTCAAACATCACAAAAATGTCATCATAATATACAGTAGGTGCAAACAGGCGCGCCAAGATTCGACTGGATAGATTCGACTGGATAGCATGCGACAGGCTGACTAAAGTCAGTCCTAATGTTGGAGCTCCACTGCCTCTGCCAGAGAGACAGATAAGGACAACAATGGGACTGTGCTTAGAACAATGGAGAAAATGAGTGTGTGGGGGGTGCTGGGGATGGGTGTGTATGCATTTGTGTGTTTCAGTGCAGTTGTGTTAGGGCTGTGACAATACCAGCATCACAATATTTTTTCCAAAAATTAAAACACGAAGTAGATCAAATTCTTTAGTTCTTTCAAAACCTGCTGTATGTAAAATGTTGTGTGCTATAGTTTGAAAAATAAATAAATGTGACTCTAGATGATAACATAATGATGTTTGTTTCCAACATTAGTGCTGTTTACCTAAAGAAGTGAAATCCGCTTCATATTTTGTTTCCTTGCCATGCTACTAATGAGTATTGCGATACTGGTATCGTCTTGGCCCTGATTATGTGTGTGTTCCAGTCGGTGTGTGTGCATGTTTTGGTGTGTGTGCATGTTTTGGTGTCTGTGCGCAAGATTGTGTGTTTCTACGTGGGTGTGTCTTGGTGTGTGGGGAGTGTATTATTGTTATTTTATGCTCTATACTACCTACACCCGGGGTCTCAAAGCGGGCGGTGCATCTTGCTTCTCTGTACAGTCAGTCGCAGGTCCATAACTCACGGCTTAGGAGAGGGAAATAGACAATAGGACAGAGGAGGCCCCAGAGAGTTTGTTTGCTCACCATAATTAATTACATACTTGGTAATGTGAAACAGAAAACTGGGAGTGGAGCAGTTGAGGCTAGTGGCAGGAGCTATGGGAGGATTTGCTCATTGGGCGGCAGGTAGCTTAGTGGTTGAGAGTGCCAGTAACCGAAAGGTCGCTGGTTCTAATCCCCGAGCCGACTAGGTGAAAAATCTGTCGATGTGCCCTTGAGCAAGGCACTTAACCCTAATTGCTCCTGTAAGTCGCTCTGGATAAGAGCGTCTGCTAAATGACTAAAATGTCAAATGTAAAAATGTAATGGCTGGAATGGAATTAATGGAACCAAGTCAAACACATAAAACAAATGGCAACCACATGTCTGACTCCGTTCCATTTATTCCGTTCCAGCCATTACAATGAGCCCGTCCTCCTATAGTTCCTCCCACCAGCCTCCTCTGGAAGGGAGGCATGTACTGACCTGAGAGAGCAAGGGAGGGAAGGAGAGAGAGTGAGGAAGGTAAAGAAGGAAGAGAGAAAGGAGAGGGATCAATAGGAAGGGAAAGAAGGGAGGAAGAGAGAGAGAACCTTGAGAAAGGAGAGGATAGAGAGTACGGTAGTAAGAGAGAGAAAATGGGAAACAGAGGACAGAGGCAAAAGAGAGAGTGGGGGTTTAACAAAATGGAGGAGAGTGGATAGCGAGGAGGAGAGACAGAGGAGAGGTGTTTGTGTTGGATGGTAGCTGTCATAGAGCCTGTGAGGTGGGCCTGAGCCAACACACACACACTCTGTAGAGGTCACGGATGATAGATAGTGAGAGACAGAGAGAAAAAGAGAGAGAGAGAGAGAGGGGTATCTGTGGGCCCTGTGCATGGTTCTGATAGAGGTCATGCATGGGGAAAGGGAAAAGAACACACCAAAAAATGCAATCTCCTTTAAAGGGATACTGCGAGATTTAGGTTGTTTATCTACTTACCCAGTCAGATGAACTCATGAATACCACTTTTATGTCTCTTCGTGCAGTTTGGAGATTATTGAAGTTAGCATATCGTTAGCTTAGCACAATTGCTGTAAATCTCCTGTTACAGTAGCCAAAAGCAGGGGATTAGACCCTCTAACTCCTCCAAAACTGGGTGTTTGGTAATTTATAGTCTTACAAAGCTATACATAGTAATCAATATTTTATAAATTCGTTAATTTCACTGATAATCATCAGAAACAAGATTCACTTCCTCATTCTTTCCCAGTTGTCGCATAGAGATGTATAGAGATCGCAACATTGTACTCCATTATGGCGTCTGTGAGCAGCGCCATTGAAACAGATACAACGTTGCGTCTGACTGGTTAAGTAGATAAACTCCCTACATCTCCCTTTAACACAGCTTCTATCTATGAATCAACCTCTCACTTACACAGAATACACACACAGCGACAAAACAGTGTCTCCCTCGAAAGCAACTCCCTACACACACAGAACCTAATATATACAAATCACACACACACACACACACACACACTACTTTTTCTTACACACACACTACACTCAAAGGACCACAGACGATAGGGTTCAACAACCACCACTGACACTAAGGGCCATTTCTCAGGGGCCCAACATGCCGTTTAGCGCTGTCACTCCCCCAAGACCCCCCCCCCTCCAAGACGGGAAACGTATCTCTTCAAACCAGTACAGTGAACAAAGGCCTGCGGTTCTGGGTCACCGGGCTGGGGCACAAGGCATTACCCAGAGCCACAGGCTCCAAGCCAGACCTCTGACTCTAACACTTCTCACAAGAAGGGTGCCCTCTTAGGACCTCAATGGAGAACCGGTTTGGGGGGGGGGGGGGTATGAACTTACACTCTCATATATACACACTCACATGTACTCATACACTTACACAAGCAGTCATAATCACACACAAGCAATATCTCCCCCCCACCACACACACACAAGCAATATCCCCTCCCACCACACACACAAGCAATATCTCCCCCCCCCACCACACACACAAGCAATATCTCCCCCCCCCCCACCACACACACAATATCCCCCCCCCCACCACACACACAAGCAATATCTCCCCCCCCCCCACCACACACAAAAGCAATATCCCCCCCCCCCCCCCCACCACACACAACCAATATCTCCCCCCACCACACACACAAGCAATATCTCCCCCCCACCACACACACAAGCAATATCTCCCCCCACCACACACACAAGCAATATCTCCCCCCACCACACACACAAGCAATATCTCCCCCCACACACACACAAGCAATATCCCCCCCCCCCCCCCACCAAACACACAAGCAATATCTCTCCCCCCCCACACACACAAGCAATATCTCCCCCCCCCCCCCCCCCCCACCACACACACAAGCAATATCTCTCCCCCACCACACACACAAGCAATATCCCCCCCCCCCCCCCCCCCTCCCCTCCACCCACCACACACAAGCAATATCCCCCCCCACCACACACAAGCACTCTATCTCATACACACACACACTAACTCATCATATACAGACAGTTTACTCTAAAATGGATGTTTAGAGAGAGCAAATTGTTGTGATTGGGGCCTCTTCTCCCCACCTCTCCCCTCTTCCTCCCCATCCCCACCTCTCCTCTCCTCTCTTCCTCCCCAGACACACCTCTCCTCTCTTCCTCCCCATCCCCACCTCTCCCCACTTCCTCCCCATCCCCACCTCTCCCCTCTTCCTCCCGACACACCTCTCCCTCTTCCTCCCCAGACACACCTCTCCCCTCTTCCTCCCTATCCCCAACTCCACCTCTCCCCTCTTCCTCCCTATCCCCACCCCCCCTCCCCTCTTCCTCCCTATCCCCACCTCTCCCCTCTTCCTCCCCATCCCCACCTCTCCCCTCTTCCTCCCTATCCCCACCTCCACCCTCTTCCTCCCTCTCCCTATCCCCACCCCCACCTCTCCCCTCTTCCTCCCCATCCCCACCTCTCCCCTCTTCCTCCCCATCCACACCTCTCCCCTCTTCCTCCCCAGGCTAGATATCACAGCCCTAGTCACTGGAACTAATCAAGAGCTTCCTTCTCCCCAATGTTTGGAGCAGCTGCCTGGAACTTGTGTGTGTGGACCACAGAGAGCAATGGAAAGAGGGAGGGGCAAATAAAGGTAGCATTCTAAGTATTTAAGCTGAGTGGACAAAGGTCAATGGTGTCGCTGACTTCATGAAAGTCTGATCTTTCTCATTCATCTCAGCAATTCATCACTAATTATTGCTATGGACTAGGTATAAATTCATACTTCATAGGTAAGAGAATGTAGGTGGATGAGTGTTTGAATGGATTTTGTATCATAATATCCTAATATTTCTATATAAAACACTGATGAATGAGTCTACTTTGAAACTGTTGAAAATTCACGTGTGGAGACAGAATGGGGGCCCATATCTCCCTCTCTCTCTCTCTCTCTCTCTCTCTCTCACACACACACACACGGCTCCTGCTGTCAGGAGTGTGACAATGTCCAGCCGGCCCCCAGACGCGAGACTCCATGGTTTGAGCCTGCCCAGTCCTATCTCCCTACAGGCGTGGAGTCCTGCTCTACTTGGCTGAGACTTGCCAGGTCCCCTCTCTGTCTGTCTGTCTCTCTCTATCTCTCCATTCCTCTTTCTCCATCCACTCCACCCCAGCAAACATAAATACACAGAGACAAGTCCATTCACTGTACCAATAGGAATAGCCTTCCCCTTCATTGTTTTACCTTAAAACATGCCCAGGCATCACCCTTTGATGCAGCAGAGCTCTTCTTGAAAGATATATAGCTTGCCCTACACTATAATAAATGTACTAGGTATGTACTTGAGTTGCTAACAATTTCAATTAATTATTAGCTATGGTAAAGTGTGAGGCTTGCATACAGTGTTAGCAACAAGAGTATTCTTTGGATGATGGCTGTCCAACCCTGTTCCTGGAGAACTATCGTCCTGTAGGTGTTCGCTCCAACCCTAATCTAGCGCACCTGATTCTAATAATTAGCTGGTTGATAAACTGAATCAGGTTAGTTACAACTGGGGTTGGATTGAAAACCTACAGGAGGGTAGCTCGCCATGAACAAGGTTGGAGAGCCCTGCTCTGGATATTACTCTTAACAATGTGTTGCTAGGTAAACTTTTAGGCATAAGGAAAGCATAAAGATAGCAATATCCTCCTTAACCTTCACTGACTTGTCATAGTCACTCAAGCCTCACCTCAACATAAGCATCCATTTTGTTTACCTTAAAAGCGTGGAATAGCCTGGCCATACAGCACACAAGCAAATGAACACGTCAGTGTCTTTCAAAACAACTGGAAAAGATCTAAACAAGACTATACCATCCGTCTGAGCTTCTAGACTAGGAAAATATTTGAACGACTAAGAAGCAACCTCCTAGTAGTAAGTAGTCTTGCATTTACAGTGTCAGTGTGTGTTCCAATTCAAAACCAGACCCAAGGCTTTCACAAACAGTCATTTGCAATACTGAGCTGACAGAATTGGTCTTAAAAGGCAGCAGTTCTTGGTGCTAAGCTAACTCTTAGCCATGTGCATCCCTCTCTTCCCTTGGCAGAGAATGATAAAGAGAGGAGGAGATAAGAAAGAGAGGATGATTCACCATCTGTACAGAGGCTAATTGGGCTAGACAAAGCACACACTCTCCTTTGGTCGATCACACACTAAACACACTGAAGCGCACACAGAGACATAGATAAATACAACAAAATAGACTGCACTAGGAGCACACAAGGAAAAGGGAAATCAAATCTGTTTTACCTCCACCCTAGTAGAGTCGGCTCGTCTGTCCTAATTCAGCTGGGGTGCCGTTGCTTTCTTAACGTTCTCTTCTCTCTCTCTCTCCACTCCTTCATATGTCAGGCATGTGTTTGCGTTCCCACATATGTGAGCCCCAGTGTGGCCGAGTCCAGAGCCAAAGAAACACAGATGGCTCCCAGATGGAAGAGGATATCCAGGCAGTCCAGTACTGTGCGTTCTCTCTCGCTCGCTCTATTCGTTCTCTCTCTCTCTCTCTCGCTCTGTTCGCTCTCTTGCTCTGTGCCTGTTATCTTGCTCTCTCTCTGTCACTGCTCTCTCTCTGTCACACACATTGTGTGTTCTCTCTCGCTGTGTGAACCTCTCTCTCTCTGACTCCTCCCCCCTTTTCCCACAGACTCTTTCCTCTGTTTCCAAGGGCAGTCTGCTGGGCTGATGTCACCGACAAGGCCACGTCCCTTCTATTTAATGTATTTACCGACGGACCTCGTGATTAACATAACTAATTGTACTTGCACCTTCAGGCTAAACAAAGGCTGTGACAAGTAAGTTGGGGTAGGGGGGGGGGGGGGGGGGGTTGGGGTAGAGGGGCATTAATTTCCTCTTCACCCCCCCCCCCTTCAAGAGGGGGGCTCTCACAATGTTTAATACCCCCTCTGTGGCCCTTTTTCTTTCTTGGGCTCTCTTTTTGTTTCACCACTTTAATGCAGTCTGGTAGGCCATTGAATCCAGTGTGTGGACACTTGCGAGGAAATGAATGCAACCTCTTGTCCTCAAGCTTCACTGAGTTAAATTTAAGCCAGCGACTGATTTATCGGCAGTACAAGAGAGAAAGAGAGAAACAAATAGTAGAAAATGGATGGTTTTGCTTTTCACCAACATTTTTGGGGGACCCAAACCTCTAAAAATAGAATTATAGAGCCGACTTTAGATTGTCAAGACTGAGTTCCTTCTAATTCTGTGGTGAGTCAATGATTAGACTCTATAATTGACAACTGGCAAACCACGGTACACATAATCAAGGCATTTCAAGGCTCCAGACAGGAGTACTCCAACTAGCACACACAAGTGCTCAAACAAACAAACAAAAAACAAACAGCAGTCCAAGACAAACACTAGCAGTTCATTAAGAGGTGATATAACCCACCCTTGCACGCACACACATCCTAATTGCCTCCCAAGGTTCAGCTGATACTGCAGGTTAAAACGAGGCAACTAAGCCAAGCGCAGACACACATGCACACGCACAGCACAGCTTTATTTGATATCCTTGGACTGATACATTTAGAGAGTGCATCTGGCCAATGGAGAGAGGGCCAGGTGGCCGTGGCAGAGGGAACAGGAGGTGCAGCACTGACTGCGGGTGCTCCGCAGATGCTAACCCAGACGCTACGCTTGCTAGCCCTACAGGTCAGTGTGTCCATGCTAGCTAGCTAGCACTTAATTCAGATAACATACACCAACCAACCATTCTTACTTAGCCTTTAGCTTTCTCTGCCACGCATACTGTCTGAACTGTCTATGTCTTGCCCATAATCGCTCCATAGAGGGAGAAAGCTAAGCATACACTTATGTAGTCATTTTTGAAGGGGGAAAGTCAATACTGAATGCGATATGGAATTGCTTTAGCTCCTTCATGCTGTCTCCCACAGCTGTTAACCATTCTGCTAGGCTGTGCGGCCGAGACTGAAAAAAAAGGGAAAAGAGTTGCTAGCTGCCCACAAAATGAGATACCCCAGTAAATTTCGAGCATCTGTTTCTGTTCACACGCTCTCTCTCCGAACATCTACTTTTAGAAAAATAAACAGTGCTTAAACGACAGCACCAGCGCTCTCCTCTAGTCCAGAGGCGGGAGGAATGAGGAGTTTGGATGTTGGAGGGTCTGAAGGGGGTAGAGAGAGAAATATAAAATCGTTACCTCACCCACTCACTAATTACGCCTTGTGATGGATAGCTTGTTGTGTGAGTGAGGGGAATAGGAGGAGGATTGTGGTAATGAGTCCACAATGAGCTCATACAATACAGCTACGGGTCCAATGGATACAGTGAGGGAAAAAAGTATTTGATCCCCTGCTAGTTTTGTACGTTTGCAAACTGACAAAGAAATGATCAGTCTATAATTTTAATGGTAAGGTTTATTTGAACAGTGAGAGACAGAATAACAACAACAAAAATCCAGAAAAACGCATGTCAAAAATGAGGGAAATAAGTATTTGACCCCTCTCAATCAGAAAGATTTCTGGCTCCCAGGTGTCTTTTATACAGGTAACGAGCTGAGATTAGGAGCACACTCTTAAAGGGAGTGCTCCTAATCTCAGTTTGTTACCTGTATAAAAGACACCTGTCCACAGAAGCAATCAATCAATCAGATTCCAAACTCTCCACCATGGCCAAGACCAAAGAGCTCTCCAAGGATGTCAGGGACAAGATTGTAGACCTACACAAGGCTGGAATGGGCTACAAGACCATCGCCAAGCAGCTTGGTGAGAAGGTGACAACAGTTGGTGCGATTATTCGCAAATGGAAGAAACACAAAATAACTGTCAATCTCCCTCAGCCTGGGGCTCCATGCAAGATCTCACCTCGTGGAGTTGCAATGATCAATAAGAACAGTGAGGAATCAGCCCAGAACTACATTTACATCATTTAGCAGACGCTCTTATCCAGATCGACTTACATTATTTATTAATTTTTTCATACCCCCTGTGGGAATCGAACCCACAACCCTGGCGTTGCAAACGCCATGCTCTATCAACTGAGCTACATCCCTGCCGGCCATTCCCTCCCCTACCCTGGACGACGCTGGGCCAATTGCGCGCCGCCCCATGGGTCTCCCGGTCACGGCCGGCTACGACAGAGCCTGGATTCGAACCAGGATCTCTAGTGGCACAGCTAGCACTGCGATGCAGTGCCTTAGACCACTGCGCCACACAGGAGGATCTTTTCAATGATCTCAAGGCAGCTGGGACCATAGTCACCAAGAAAACAATTGGTAATACACTATGCTGTGAAGGACTGAAATCCTGCAGCGCCCGCAAGGACCCCCTACGCAAGAAAGCACATATACAGGCCCGTCTAAAGTTTGCCAATGAACATCTGAATGATTCAGAGGAGAACTGGGTGAACGTGTTGTGGTCAGATGAGACCAAAATCGAGCTCTTTGGCATCAACTCAACTCGCCGTGTTTGGAGGAGGAGGAATGCTGCCTA